TTATTAAAATGAGTGAAAGTTCCCGCCATAAGTTTCATGTGATTAATACATGTATACAAGCAATATGAAGGGTAAGTTTATAGATAAAAAATGTAGATAATTACATAAACATTAGCTCAAGTATAAAACTATTGAAAGATTTTCTGTGTGTATGTAGCTAATGGACTACCTTAAAAAATAGAACAAAAAAAAAACAAAGTTTCAACAATTATACCAAAATGTTTTTGACCCTAATGACTAAATGAATAAAGCTTGACTTTCATTAGAAATATGCAATGTTCTACATTGTATCTAAGTATAGGTTGCTATATCAGGTTGTGGTTCGATACATTAAAATGTAAATTTCAAACTATAATTAAGTAATAGTTGTTTATCATTCTCTTTACATTCTCAACTGATCGAGTACGAAATCAATCAATCAAAGTAATTACTGTCGCTTCCAATATTTTTAAACAACGTCAAAAAGGAAGATTTTTATAATTCGCGCAAGTTTATATTTTGTATATATAACGTGATGTCTTAGTTAATTCTAAACCTGTTTTGATAAATCGATAAGATTTACTCCCAATGTTGATCCCAAATAAATTTTATGACTACCGAAATCGTTATATTTTGCAGAGCAAAATTTTATATTTGAAAACTTTTACAATCGAGTGTATTGTGACATTAGCGCGTTCTTCTACTTTCGAAGTTTTTTTATAGCTTAACGACTTGCGTTTTTACGTGGACCGCTAGCCTTATGGATGATAATGACTAAACTAAAGGTACTTTTTGCGGATTGTGTTAAAAAATCGTCATCCAAACAAAAGCTTAGTATTTGTATATATATAATGAGTGGAAATAAGTAGGTCCACTGCATTTGACCAAACGGAACTTGTCTTAAAATCGCCCCCGGCCACCTTTCACTTTTTAGTGTCTCGACAATCAATACAATCTTTTCGTTTTCTTATATTGGCTCATGTTATGCCATTGCGCATTAATAATAAGGTTCAATTTATAATAAAATTAAACAGTTTAATAATTACAAATACGTTATGTTTATACAAGTCTTTTTGAATTTCGATAAGATGCAAAGATCAATCTTGTTTGTTTTAGAAAGTTACTTGACTTATACATGTATATTAGTTTGTTTATATATGAGTATTTTGTATTACGTGATCATAGCGTTTTGAGTTTCGTTATTAAACCAAAAACAAAGGTCTACCGGATTCATATTTCGACAAAGTGGTAATAACTACTACCACAGAAAAATAAGCGTATAAGATTATACTTAGACAAGTACCGTTGATATGTGGTCCCGCCACAAAATGGGCCACCTATTCATTTTCCATGTAATAATGGTCGAGGAATGAGCAGCAGGGTTCCTCTTGAAACATAACTAAAAGCTTGCTTGCCAAGCGTAACAACTACTAGCAAAACCCCCCAAGAGGAAGAGGCCTAAGTTCACCAGTGGACAGTTAATGACTGTTAAAATTATAAATAGCTGCAGTGACCAGGTCGATATTAATTTTGATACTCCAATTGTTTTTGTACGAAATATCTATAAATATATAAAATGAGTCGTGCTGCTGGATCTGCTTATGGATATGGTGGCTTTAATTGTTAAGTATTTAATAATAGTTGTAAGCTATATATATTTCTCCGTACTTATTGTTATACATGTATCAATATATGCTGTGTTTGCCTATAAAAAATTGTTCTAAGCTCCATAATTGTATATATATTTACATTATTTTGTGGAAACAATTGTTAGTAAACCTAAATAAATAAATAATAATAATAGATAAGTACGTTCTGCTCTGTAAACTAAGCGACTTTACTCATGACCACACACATTTTAAGACACCAACAAGATACTTTATAGAAAACTTATGTATATAAAAATATTTTAATTTAGAACGCGAAATCGTGTGTCTAGAAGTAGATATGGTAGCTTAAATCATCACATATGAATTATATGCGATAATTGGAGCTACTATCGTAGTCATTTATCATAATATAGGACCGATACGGTGGTAAACCATCTTTATATGTAAAAAGAATTGTGTAAATCGATTGTAATTGTAAATTGCATCGTAATCACATAATATAACCACAAACTTTGTATAAAATGAGAACATTTTTCTTTTGAGAGCTTTTTAACTATGCAATTATAAGCTTTCAAATAGTTACACAGCTTATAGACGTCAAATACGCATATTATATGTCAAACTAAAATTAAAGGTTACTATATTATTAGTTAATAATCTTAGATATTAATCACATATTTTAGACTTTTCCCTTAACGATGTCTCTAATGGAATGTTACTTTCTTTATAGACTCGAGACTCGAGATCCCTAATCTTCAGTTGTAATCACTTTTAATAATCTGGGCTTACACTAAATTGCCTCCTCATGTTCAAGAACTGGTGGCATAAATGAATTGGTATTAAAAAGCTGATTAACAGAAAGAGATGACTGCAGGAATAAGTCCACCATTGTACCTATTTCTTTACTTTTTACTAGCAACCCGCCCCAGCTTGGCATGGGTTCTTTACAAAAAATATAAAATAGCCTATAATACTTCGAGGAGATACATTATTATTATTGTAGTAAATTTTTTTGATCTATCTCGTAGGGTTCAGCCAGCATTTGCAATGTAAGCGCAAAAAATATGGTTTTATTTACGACGTTACCTTAGAAATCTCTAAAATTATCAGTGTTTCTTTACTATATTATACATGTATTATACATATAAACCTTCCTCTTGAATCACTTTATCTATTAAAAAAACCGCATCAAAATCAGTTGCGTAGTTTTAAAGATCTAAGCATACATAGGAACAGAGAGCGAGAAGCGACTTTGTTATATAATATGTAGTGATAATGATATTTTAAGTTACTACCGTTCTTCTTTAAACTCGAAAAAGAAACAAATTTACTGCTGCGTCTAAAAATTACATACTAGAAAATACTATTGCAATACACATCTGAAAATAACTTTCGAAAATATCATAGATGTTAAACCAGTAAACTTGGATGGTTAAAAAAGGCCTATATTCAGCAGTGTACAGTTAACAGCTGACACGATGATGGTTAAAAAAACAACTAACTTATTGTTATAATATCAGCCGTTAATTGTTCACTGCTAAACATAGGTCTTCCCTATAAAGGAAATTTTGCCAGTAGTTGCCACGCTTGGCAAGCGTATTAGCAACCACAGTTAGTTTTTGGCGATGATTTAAAAAGGACGCTGCTGCCCATGCCTAGACCTCTAAGTTCCCTTAGTTGTCTCTTACGGCACCCACGGGAAAGGATGAGTTTTTATAATTTTTAATAAATTGAAATTAATAAATAAATTGTAAATGATTCTTTTGTGCATCCGACATCGATTACATAACGATGTTTATTACTTACCTTATGTAATAAGATAATTTCCCGTAGCAAAAAAACATACTAGATATCAAGCCAGGACCTAAATTATCGCGACGCCATATTTCATCAAAGTGTACTTTTTAGTTTTACTAAAATATATTTTAAACTTGAATTAAACGTACGTCCAGTGTTATTCCATCAAAAAGTTTTTACGGGCGTCCGACACTACATTCTCGACCTTTCATGAATTTTTAACGACCCGTCTGTACAATAAAGATTGTTCGAAACGCTACTAAACAAGTTATTCAACGGAATCTTCTACTCTGTGTAAGTAGTATAACAGTATAGAAATGGAAAGTTAATCCAAAGAGAGCGGTTATCCGATACGGTAGAGATTTATATAGATGTATAAAAAGCAATAATAATATAAATTTAAAAATTGTTACAGTCGATGAGAGTGATAAAAGTGATAGTGGACGAATGACTCTGACTTACTCAGGAAATCAGGAATTTATTTATATATATATACTAGTTACCCGCCCCGGCTTTGTATAGGAGTACTAGTGACAAAAATAAAATAAACTACATCTCTTTACAGTACGACTATGTATTGAATACAATGTAAGAAACTGAGTAACTGAACTTCAATCTGTCAATTCTGTTAACAATTTATAAGAGCTCCTGACCGTTTTCTGTCACACTCACACGTTTACTTTTTATAATGGTGAAATTGTAACTCAATTTCAAACATTTTCTTTTACACAAACATTGTACTAACAATTACAAACTGACAATTACAATAAAAAGAAAATTAGCCAAATAGGTGCATTCACTCTGAAGTAATATGCCTACTTCGACAATTGTTTTTTACTTATATAGATTAATAATAAATATTTAAGATTCTATAAAATTCTGTTGATGTTTCCGAAAATATCCTTCATTACTTACCTCTCAAATTCCTCAACATAGGTTCTGACTTAGAACTTTACTCAAAATGATAGAACTTACTTAATACCTGTAATAAAACAAAAAATACAAAGTAAAAGTGATTGTATTGTTTGTTTTTCGCCGACTCACGTCCGCCGGCTGTTATTCTGTAGTCGCAGTAGGTAGTGCCGCTGGTGTTGTGGGTGATCATGGGCGGCGGAAGTCACTTACCATCAGGTGAGCCGCATGCTCGTTTGCCCCCTGTGTTGTAAAAAAAAAAAAAAAAAAAAAAGGTACAATTATAAACGCTTTCACAATTTCGCCAATGACCAAAATTGACATTTTAACGAAGTCAGCGAACTTCGTAGTCAAATAATATCATAATTGGGATAAAAATGTTCATTTGTTCTTTCTTAGACTTTGCTTCTAATATAAATAAACAAACATGGAGTCGAACTCTTTCGATTATAAAAAGAATCATTAAAATCTATTCACAAATTACAAAGATATCGAGTAACATATGTCCTAAAGTAAAAAAAAATTCGGTAATAAAATTATCTTTTTAGAACTTCAGTAATTTCAAAATCTTATTCAATCTGGATACATGGGAGGGAGGGTTTGTTAGTAATGGGGACTAGCAAACTCATCACTGGCAAACTTCTCTGTCAGATCCACCTCCACGCAGTTTTCATTAGAAAACGTCGTCGTTAATTCCTGGCGTTTTCATCACGATAAACAACTGTTCTGCTTTCATCTTTACCTATTACCACCAGTGAAAACCGATAGCGTAGGTAGGTGTTACCATCATATTATTGTCCATAAAAGGCACCCAAACTGGCGTCATGTTTGAAGGGCTTAGACGAGCCTGTTTTAGTAAGGCATCGGAACCACTTCCTGTCAGGTTGATATAGATCAGACATTGTCTTTAGTGTTTTTATTTCTATCAGTTTCCCAGTTTTTTAAATCAATACAGCAGTGTTTATCTAATTGTTTTGGGCATCCATAAACATATGGTTGTCATATCATCAGTTGTAAGTACCATAGATAAAACCAAAATATTAATTTTCTTTTTTATGTAAGTACCATAACCAATGGTATAAAAAATAATAAAATAAAATGTAAAAACATTATATATTTACAAAACTTTCTCTCATATAAATTCATTCTTAATCTACCTCAGTATCGTATAGGAATAAGCTACTAATTCGCACTGTATAATTATAACATTATATTTTTTTCTGAAATGCAAATTTTAATATATTCTGGCAACAAAAAACTGTTGTGAATTAATTATTAAATTACTAGATGTAATAATAATACATATATATAATTTAAACTTCTTTTAAATTGATATATACACAAAAATATCATTTTTATACTTTCATATCATTAACTTTTTTTTTAATTGAGAAAAGCTTGCCTTTATTATAACTACATGTTATTGAAATTTAAATATAAAATCTAACGGTTCATAGTAATTTACAAATATCATTTCTTTGTAAATCTCTATACCACAGAATAAAAATAAATAACATTACAAGTCTATACGTATGTAACAAAACTGCGGACTCAACAGTAGTCTGGCGGTTTAAGCCTTTGGGTCATTGTTTTAATATTTTTATAACAACCTTAACTTTTCACGTAGTAGTTTTATCTATCTGTATTTTGTGTAACTCGTTTATACAGTTACCGTCATATTAGGTATATATTTCCAACACATACATATATAATATATAGTGTTAAACAGTAATGAATACGTCATTGTGTTTCAGTACGACTAAAGAGTATTCACAGTGCAACCTCTGGCACAAGAGGCATAATTAACACCTTATTACTCAGGTTTAGCAATGAGTAAATGCTACTACGGACGATACAGTATGTCCACAACATTATGCATAAGCGATATTTACGACATACAGTCAGCCAGATTGTCAACTTGTTTGATATTTCTAATAGAGTAAAACATTGTTAGGATATAACACATTTAGTACGTATTAATACAATATTATAATATAATTATTATAAAAGACTGATACCAAATAATAAAGAAAACAACAAACATCAATATAAACATATCACAATTTAAATAAATAATGAGCAACCCATCAGCGAGTAACAAATGGTAACAACAACAATATCAGTACTTTATCATTTCTATATTAGAAAATATTCTGGACCCACGTAGGAACCACACTTGGGGAAATCAGCTGGCGCTTGCACAAAGTCTCTGTCCTCGCCAACTTTTAAAATGAAGTCCAACCCTCTCGTCCAATGAGTGGAGCGCTCGTCCCTCATCATCCAATACCCTGGATTGTCAGCTTTGAAACGCAAAGCGACAACGCCAAACTTTGGCACGACTATAGTGTCTTTTATCACTGGATCTTCAATATTTTTCGACGTAAACAATGTATCGTCTTCGTTCATTTTCGTCACTTCCTCCACAGTTAAGCTACGGTTGAATTCTCTCACGCCGATCACGTAGAAACTGTACCCGTGTAAATGGAAGATGTGATCGGACTCGCCCCCTGTAACAAATAAAATGGACACGTTACTTTCTATGTCATGCCTACTTATATAATATTATAGATATTAACTATGATATTAGGTTAATCAGAGGGCCTACCATGAAGTATTTTCCGAAGTTTCGGGGACGAACGAAACAGAAATTTGATGTTAAAATTGCATAATACATGCTGTTTAAAATTATTAAAAAGGTTAAAATATCGTTCCTTTGGACTATTAGAATAGAATTTGTGATGAACGAAATGTTAAGCTCCATTTACTGGGTCGATTTTGATACGAACAAAAACACGAAATTGAGCCCCAGATTCTGTTCTTATATACGTGCAAAAGTTATTTAATATAATCTACTACTATCTTTTACCCGCGACTTCGTCCACGTGACCAGGATATGCTTACGTCTGCAAGCATTTTATCCCTGTCTAAGGAAAAAAATAGCCTAGTATATCCTTCTCCATTCCATAGAGTACGTGTATACCATATTTCATAGTGATTGGTTAAAACGTTATGAGGTAACGAATAAACAAACTCATTTATAATATTAAGTAAGAATTAGACAGCTTATATTTCTTGTGTATTTTTCTTGTAACTATAAATATGCAAATTTTTTTTATTATACATAGAGTGGCAAACAAGCTGACGGCCTACCTAATGGAAAGTGGTAACCATTGCCAATGGACATAAAAAACACCATGGATATTACTGAATACCCTGTGATACAAATGGTACTCTTTACTCCTTGCCATTTCTGAGAACTATGATGTTAATTCTTAACTAATTTTGATATTTCTTTTATTTTTGTAGAGCATAATGTACTTGTGTACCTTCTTTTTCGTCCGTATGACCGGGATAATTTACTGACCAGGATAAACAGTACCCTATATTTTTTCTCCATCCCATGGTACATGTATACCAAATTTTATTGTAATTGGTCAAGCTAATAAGGCGCTATAAGGTAATAAACAAACTCACTTTCACATTTATAATATTAGTAAGAAAGTGAGGATAAAAATTTATTTAATAAAAAAAAGAATAAGTATAATATAAACAGTATTGTTTTATGTACGTTGTTACCCTATTAAATATAAAGATAACTATATTTATTAACAAATATTTGTTGTATAAAATATACAATATGCTGGGTTTAATTGAATTCATGCAGCGCTTGCTACATTGGATAAATTCAGTTAAACCTAGTTATTTATGTATCGTATATACATAATGCCATAAAGAGAATTGAATCTTTAAGTAATGTCAGGTATATTACTTATAAAATTCGAATATAGCTATATATAAAATAATAATATTTAGAATATTTGCCTATTGACTCGTTTCACATTTTTATTTCCAACTAAATTGGCGAGCATGAAACATGTCCTAGTACGAGAAACAAGTAATCCTTGTTGATATGTATATGTGGAATTCGACAGATTGTCTAAATTTTAGATTACTATACTTTATTGTAGTTGCTTAGTACCGGATTACGCTATATACGTTAGCCTGTTCAGTGCTATAAGAATACAGATAGATGCAAAGGATCTCTTTCAATGAAAATTCATAAAATAATATTTTTCTACTTTAGTTCTAGTTCCGAATAATTTGCTATATTTACTTATATATTACTATAGTACCGTATTTATAAAGAATGGCAATACATTTATTATTATTATTACTATATCAGAATATTTGCTATATTATTCTTATGAACACTGCTTATAAATATATATAGGTAAAGGTAAATAGTGCTGAATTGCACAAACATTTACACACACTATATCTATTTATCAATTTATTATGCAATATAAGCACTTAAATTTTATTTATAAATAACAGTATTTACCTTAATGACTGTATAAATAGAAAAATAAATTTAAAATTCATAACTGTTGATCAAGCCAATAAATAAATTGAAATCGGCGGCAAGGAGCGGCGGCGATCCGTTATTAACTTATAAATTAAATTTAAGAATATAAATAATATAATATATATTTTATAATTTAAAAGAAATAACCAGTTTAAATATAAATTTCCACAGTATGTATAACATTTTTGTCGTTTAAAAACATCTGTATTCCAGTCTTTGAATAAATCAAGCTTTGGTTCGTGGCGAGAGCCTCGTCCCAAATACTGGTTACTCTTCAATCATGCATTCTCTTTAACGTACCTTTCTACAATGATCCTACCTATATTATAACATGTAATATAATCTATCGTTATTACTATGATACTTTATAAATAGATTCAAAGTATCATCTATTGAAATAATAGAAAATCTCTCACAGATATCTCTGCATATCAATGATATGTTACAGATAAGTAATATTCATTGCTATGCGGACGACAGTACAGGAGATACATTATATACCGGTCATGCAAAGATCTCGCGGGCACATACCGATGAGTGCCGGAATAGACTTGTGTCTGAAATCGAAACTTCACTCCATCAAGTTTCGATCTGGGGTGAACAAAATCTTGTCCAATTTAACCCCAAAAAGACACAAGTCTGCGCGTTTACCGCAAAAAAGACGCCGTTTGTCGTATCTCCTCACTTTCAGGGCACTTCCCTTGATAAAAAGTCAAGTCTAGGAATTCTGGGCGTTGATATATCTTGCGACGTCCAGTTTTGCGGTCATCTGGAGGAGAAGGCTAAGATAGCTTCCAAAAAGTTAGGAGTGCTCAATAGGGTGAGACGATAATTTCATGCCAGAACACCGCCTGAAATTATATAAAGCCCAAGTCAGGCCGCATATGAAATACTGTTCTCACCTGTGGGCAGGAGCGCCACAGTACCAACTCCTTCCGTTAGACCGCATTCAAAGTCGGGCGGCTCGAATTATCGATAGTCAACGCCTTACTGTCCGACTTGACCCATTGAAACTGCGCAGAGATGTTGCGTCTCTGTGCATCTTCTACCGAATTTATCATGGGGAGTGTTCTGAGGAATTGTTCGGATTGATACCTGCTGCTGATTTTCACCACCGTACAACCCGCCACAAACTAAAGTTTCATCCCAATCATCTGGACGAGTGGCGGTCTTCCACCGTGCGTTTTTCAAGGCACTTTCTTCCACGCACAACCATTCTTTGGAATCAACTTCCAGCAGCAGTATTTCCGAACCGATACGACAACATAACCTTCAAGAAAAGAGTATATTCCTTTTTAAAAGGCCGGCAGCACACCTGCAATGCCGCTGGTGTTGTGGGTGATCATGGGCGGCGGTAGTCACTTACCATCAGGTGAGCCGCATGCTCGTTTGCCCCCTGTGTTGTAAAAAAAAAAAAAAAAAAAGATATATTTTCCTTCCTTTTGCTGTCGTGCACTTTGTGTGAAACGTGTGTCTTTTTTATAAGCTTTTAAGATCATCAACCAATCTATAAGATGATGATTACTACCTAGCCATTAACCCACTTCACTTGATTAGCCGTGCGGTCCCCGCATAGAATAAGCAACCCCTTCCTATCATGTCGTCGTAAAAGCCGACTAAGGGAGGATGAGGGATGGGCAGTGTCCCTTTTAAACATTTCTAAAGCCTGACTGCGGTTGCCACTCGGCCTGCCAAACGTGGCAACTACTGACAATACCCTCCCCCCAAGGGAGACTTATGTTCAGCAGTGGACAGTTAAAGGCTGATATGATGATGATGATGACTTGATTACAATTATCTTTATCATCCCTATAATAACAATAAATTACATTCTTCTCCATATGCCAAACACGTCCATATGCGTCCATAGACTCCAGTAACCATTTACGATCAGACTGGTTGTACGCATGTATGTCACCTTCGTGGTATAAAAGAAAACATACACGTCACAAATACAAATATCACTTTTAAATAAAATTGGAAGGAATAATAGTATATTATAAACTATGCATAATGTTTTCCTTTCTAATGGTACTGTATATTTAAAGGAATTCCATATAGTTACATTTAGCACTATGCTAATATCATTGAATATTCGCTACATCAGAAGATAATTCAACCCGTCTCAAGGCATATTCAGGGGTTTACCGTGTCTATCGAAGCATAGAGTGGATTTTATTGTATCCACACTCAGGACAAATATATACTTGTCGAGTTACTCAAATATTTATTACTGTGGAAGTCTACCCTGCGATCTCGAGTATTCTTTTTTTATCATCTCAACGATTTAGATACTAGTAGGTATAGATTTTTTTTATAAATGGAAATAACTTGCATTATTAGTTGACTCTTGTATAGATAAAGTTTTATTATTGTTATTATTATATCAGCCGTTAACTGCTAAATATAGGCCTCCCCATAAGGGGGTGTTACCAGTAGCTTTCACGCTTGGCAGGTGTTTTTTTTTTAAATAGATGATAATGAAATGATAACCCCGCCTGCGCTATCAGTATACACCAGCAAGGTACCAGTGATGATAGGTGAGGAAGGACCAAGTCAGTTTGCAAATCGTGATGAATACACCAGGAATTTAGCACGATAGTTTCTAGGGGCGACCTATCAGGGTATATTGCTAGTTATAAAACTAGTAGTCCGCATATCCCTTTCCTCTGACAGACGGGTTGGCAACCACAGTTAGTTATTTTAAAAGGGACGCCCGTCCCTTAGCCGCCTCTTGCGACACCCATAGGAAAGGAAGAGACGGCCCATTCTATGCCGGGACCATACGGCATAAATAAAATGTAGGGGAGAATAAAGTCAGGTCAGTAAACTTAACGTAATTAATTCTCTAGGAATTAACCACGATGGTTACCAGAAGGAATCGCTAGAAGATTGACTATACAGTATAATATTATTAACAATACAATTGCTGATCTCTTTTTCTGAAAATCTCCTCTCGTCCGATACTTTTTTAATTGATTATTACGGAATTGTAACCTCGCCTGCTTTAATGGTATATATAGCGGCATCAGTGAATGATGATAGATGAGAATGCAGGAAGAGGAGCAGGTCAATTGGCCCATCGTTACGAATTCATCAAGAATTAACCACGATGGTTTATAAGGAACTGCGTGGAGGTCG